CATGCTTATCATGAATTCAGTCCCTTATCACCTTTATCCTGGACAATTCCTATCTCTTTCAGTCTTAAGCAAATCTATCTGGCATTATCCCTTCACCTTGCTTATCCATTTCTCTACCATAGGTTCAGTTCTGTATCACCTTCACCTGAATTGACACATTCTCTTTGTCCATTTCCCTTTCACCAGTTAAATCCCATATACCTTATGTGGATCATCCTTACAACCTCCTCATTCTTTTCCCCACCACTAAGCTGCAACAGCCACTTCCCTGCCTCCTATCTTGGCTGATTAAAACAACTCCATAAAACTAGTTATCTGTCCAACATCCTGACATGATACAGCTTAAATACTCTCAAAGCTTTCAGTGCCCCCCCCCCCACTTTTTTATAGCTGGTGCCCGACCCTAGTCCACAGGGTCCTGCATGGTTGGGAGCCTCAGCCTCAGCCTCTGCTTGCCTGGGACTCTGCACCCAGCACGAGAACTGTCCCTGTGCCCACACTCACCTGTGGTCATGACTGTCCTGGCCCCTTTCTCTCCCTTACTCCTCACTGCTGGCCAATGCCCCAGGCCCACTGAGAGTTGGTCCTCCCTCCCTCTCTTACTCTTTACTTAGGAATGGAGGAGAGGGGAGGTGACATTACTGCTCCAACAGCCACAGATGGTACTCACTTTGAAAAATAAGGGAATGGGAGCTGTAAATTCCCATGTGGGTGCAGAGGGAGGGCTAGGTTCTCAGAATTTGTTTTTTGAGGAGTGGGAGGTTGTTTTTAGCTATGAGTTTGTCCACTTGAGTGGTGTTTCCTTCATTTTGGTGGTTTGTAGGAAGTCTTTGTGTATGTGTTCTTTAAATTTTTTAAAAAAGATTTTATTTATTTATTGTCAGAGAGAGAGCGCACATGAGCAGGCTCTCTGCTGAGCAAGGAGCCCGACGCGGGACTCAATCCCGGGACCCTGAGATCGTGACCTGAACTGAAGGCAGGTGCTTAACCAACTGAGCCACCCAGACACCCCTGTGTGTGTGTTCTGATGAAGAAATTTGGAACAGACTATCAGGACCAGAGAAACTGTTGGGGGGAAATGGAGAGATCTTGGTCAAAGGGTATAACCTTATAGTTACAAGATGAGTCAGTTCTGGGGATCTAATGTACAGCATGGTGATTATACTTAATAATACTGCATGTTGTACTTGAAATTTGCTGATAATAGATCTTAAATGTTCTTATCACACAAAGAAAGGTGTGGAAAAACTGTGTGAGGCGATGGATGTGTTAATTAGCTTGATTGTGGTAATCATTTAACAATGTATAGGTATATTAAATCATCATATTGTATACCTCAAATATATACTATGTTTGTTAATTTACCCCAATAAACATGAAAGAAAAAAAGATCAGAGAAACTGCCCTGAAAATGCAGGGAGGCTTTTTGGGTGCAGTACAGACCTTACTATTGGGGAATTGGGCAGCATCATAGATGTTTTAATGTGACAGGGAATCACCATCCCCAGAAAAAGGGTTTCTCAGCACAGCTGGGGGCCTCTTAAGGCCCCTTTAGTTCTAGGTTTCTGGAAAAATGGGACTGTGAATAATACAGACAGCTCTCCCGATCTCATTCCTCTCATTCCGCAGTTAGAATGACAACCCTGAAGCCCAGGCAGGTGAGAAGAGGAAGTGGATTCAGGAGGAGCAAATGGAATAGCATGAGCATCTGTAAGTGTGAGAATGGGAACGCCACGAGGCTCTCTGCTATTTCCTGGGTCTTGGGGCTACTATAGTCAAGTTCTCTCTAGTTTGGCTCATAATGGATGCCCATAAGGAGGACCAGCCAGCCTGCTGTGTTGGTGAGGAAGTCGGGGCAGGTGGGCTCTGAGCAGCTTGCACTTCCTCCTGCTGCTCTGTCCTCTTTCAGCTGCTGGGACCCAGAGGAGTTGTCAGTCCTTGGAGTCTGGTGCTGTGTCCTGAAACCTGATCCTAACCTCTTCCCAAGGGCATGGGGGTGGGTGTAAGGGGTGAGAAATGAGTGACTTGAGATGTTTCCATGGTTAGCCAGTGTCTGAAACATGCAATGACCACTGTTCTACCTGGAATGTTTAGGACACAGAAGCAGATAAAGACCAGTCCCCATCCTCAAGCAGGCCCCATAGCTTTGAGGGGAAAACAATTGTTCCCATACCGGCACCCCAGCCTACAGGGCTTGGGGACCCAGGCCCTGCAGTTACTTGCCAAATTCTTCTGAGATAAGAGCTTCTGGATATTTTTCTTTGGCCACAGGATGGGAAGGATACCTCACTTCTGTTCCACAACAAGCTACTTTATTCCGTTTTTCTTCAGAGCATTCATCACCAACAGACAATTTCTCTGCTTATCATCTTTCTCTCCGTGCTAGAGTGTATGCTCCATGAGGGCAGGGATTTTGTTTTATTCACGTCTCTATCCCTAGCATCTAGAACCATACCCAGAATAGGTACTTACCTAATACATTTGTTGATTAAATGAATCCATGAATCAACTACACACTAGATGTCTTTTAAGAAAGGAAGAGAGTGCTATTTGGGAAAACATTACATCACAACATTATACGGGTTATTATACATAAATCTCTCTGCAGTAAGAGTTCTACTATGCCCACTTTTATGAGGAAAAACAAGCCAGTGAGATGAAACCAAGATTGTAACTCAAGCTATCCCTCTCCAAAGGCAATGTGCTCTTTCTGTTCTTGCTACCCTGACCAGAGTGGCCCTGCTGTGTGCCCACTGTGTTCTGGGCAGCACCTTGGTCACTCTGCATACTTGGTTCTACCTAATCCCCAAATAACCCCGCATGGATTGGTATTTCTTTTCCCATTTTGCATGCTTAATAGCAAACTCACTCATAGAGGTTAGTTTGACCAGAGTAATCTAGCCTACAGGTGGGGAGCTGGGCTCACCTCCAGGCCTCTTTAGTCCAAAGATTCCTATTATAACACCCTGGGAACTCACATGGGGATTCTGCCAAGTGCAGTATGTCTACTTTGTGTATACATTCTCAATCTGGGTAAATCCATGGGGTGGGTTCTGGGTCCCAGTGATCTTACTGTGAGATGATCCTGAGTTAAAAATCCATTTGCCACTTGACTCCATAAGGTCCTACTCTGACTGGTAAACAACAGCAGTATCTTGAGCCAGTGTCAATTCAGAGTCAGAGCCCAGTAACCCCTGCCCTAGGCTGATCAGCCTCAGACTATCAGGCACAAGCCTGTATTCCAATCAGGGTCATGGACCCATTACCATGAGTGACAAGCATGAGACCTGTGGGGTGTCCCACTAAACAAAGGAAAGCAGAGTTATTACAAGACTTCCGGGCAGGGTGGATTTTAGGTGAAATCTATATGGAGCAGTGCTTGGATGGGTGGGCAGCAAAGCTGGGCTGTGAGTAGTGGGTCAACATCAGGTCTGGACTGAGAAGTGGACCAGGTTCCTATTTCCTTGGAAACCGCAAAATTTAGATGTGGAATGTGTTGTCCAAAACTCCTTATCTGGTTCTAGTTGTAAATCAAGGCTGCTTCTCTGTATCAAAGTGACTTTTATCTGCCAGGAAAGAGTGGGTATTTCATTCTTATAATTTATAACACATTCCTGTCAGTCTGTGATATTGGAGAACAAAGTTTCTCAGTAAGAAAGCAGAGGTAAAATGTCATGACATTTTACAGCTGCACATCTTTTTTGGGAAAGTACTGTCTCCTATTAACTTTGAAGCAGGTTTTATCCCTGTGATTCCAGCCCAGTGAATAGTTTAATAGATTTTTTTCCTTTCCCGGTCCGAGCTAATTTTTACTTTCTTATCTCTATAGGTGTGGGTATTTCCTGTCTTTCAACGTGGTTACCCCATAATTGGCCACATTCCCTTTGGGGAAGGAAATAAGATATAGTATAAAATTGGGAGAGAGCATCAGCATCTTTCCTCAAGGGAATCTGGCCTTTTCTCCTTTCATGAGGTTCAGGTCTTTTCACCAAATTTAATGTTTTTTTCACTTATACTGATAGAGACTTCAGTAGGCTATCTATTTCAGTCTCAGAGACACCATCACCGTTACCCAGGGTAACTTCTGATTACTGCTCTGGCCCTGGGCCTGTTAAGGTGACACACTTCATGTCTCTGAAAGGGTTATGAGCTACTGTCTGGTATTCAACCAATCCCAGTGAGTTATTAAACCCATTTTCATGACAGCTCTCCCAATGCCATTCCTAGCCTATAGAAAGTAGCCGCTGGAGCATCTCCCACGGAGGTTGGTGCACCCTTGCGAATGCATTTCTCAAGCCTGGGTGACCCTCCTGGGGTGGGGGAAAGTAGGCTGGGGCAGGTGAACAGGGCATCGGTCAGCACTGTCAGTCACTACAGAATGAATCTCTCTTCCATAAAGCTTCCTTCCATCTACTGAAGAAACGGAAATGTCTTTCTCTTCTCAGTTGTAACTAGTTTACTTGGTTTAGAAGCTGGGGGTGGCAAGTCGATGACTGCTCTGTGCTAATCAACAAGTGTAGCACAGAGAGGGTCTGCACCATCAGGGGAGAGTCTGGCTCCCAACTAGTATTAATGCCATCTCCAAGCTAAGGAAGAAATTGGGTAACAGAGAAACTTATGACTGGAATCGAGGAGAACATTAACAACTATGTAAATAAAATTGAATACAATTTGGATGAAGTACTTAATTGAAAACTAAAACAATGAAAAACTCATCACAGGTATTAGTCAGAAGGATGTTTTAGCCATATAAGCTGAAATAGAGGATTAGGATAAAGGTTGGGATTCTTAGTTAAGTGAAAACACCTCCCCTGTATGTAAAGATGGAATTAAAAAGGAAAAAACCCAAGTATTTTTTCCTGATTTGGCATTCTAAGATTGCATGCGGTCTTGAGGAAGACACTGCCATGGCTTCCTAGTCCTTCTGTCTCCTAAAAGAACGCCAGAGATCCTTGGAGCAAAAACAGTTAATTTACTTTCCTTCCTTTTTAAAGGTCCCTTCTCTAGAAGTTGTAACTGGATAAAAAGCTCCAACGCCCTCAGAAGCCAGGAGAAGCCATGACTTACAAATCCTGTAAGTCATATCCCATGCCACAGTGTGTCTACTTTATGCTTATTTTCCTCCCAATTCACAGGGGTTTGACTTTCCAAATTACCTTGTAGAAAAACTCATTTTACACGTGTCATTTGACTTAGCAGGATCTCAAGTCTGAATCTACACACACACCTCACCTCATTCCTTAACAAATTTTGCTCCTGTTTGGATTATCTGGTGCTGAAAAGGGAGAACAGTTTTGAAGTTAAAGGGACCACATCCTCACAATAAACCCTTTTGAAGAGGCCCAAACAAATCAACAAGGAAATCTCAACCTGGCTCTTTCTGGCTTTAAAGTGCAAGGGTTCCAGTTACTTTCCTTGAACCTGAAATAGATGATGATGAGGAAGGAAGAGCAAACGGCCACATGAAATACCTCACTGCACCTTAAGGTCTGGGGCTATGAAAACACAATCTTAAGTGTAATTAAATTGTGTTCATTTCAAGTACTTAAGTACAGGGCCACCCTCTGAATCAGAGGAAAGGCATGTGACCTTGGATTTTTTATCACATAATTTGGCAGCCTGCCCTCAGTTAACAGTGCACTGGGAGATTGTTAAATCACTCGAGATGAATCTCCAAAATGAAAGCTGTAAAAGCAATGAATGGCTTTCCCATCAGTATACTGCTCCTGTTGTAAAACAGTGAAGACTTTATCGAATAAAGCAGTTATTCTCCACTGTGAACTTTATGGTGCTGAATGAAAGCTGCCTGTGCACTAAAGAGGGCCCCACGTTTAATGCACTTATAGGCTTGCTCTCCAGTGTGAATTTTCTCATGACTGGTAAGAGTTATTCTCTGACTAAAAGTTTTCCCACATTCATTACACACATAAGGTCGCTCTCCACTGTGAACTCTCTGATGTCGAATAAGGTGAGAGCTTTGTCTGAAGGACTTTCCACATTCAGTGCATTTGTAAGGTTTCTCTCCTGTGTGAATTCTCCTGTGTTGGATAAGGGATAAACGTGCACTGAAGGCTTTCTCACATTCATTGCATATGTAGGGTTTCTCTCCAGTGTGAATCCTCTGATGCTGAATAAATTGTGAATGCTGACTGAAGGCCTTGCCACACTCTTCACATTCATAAGGCTTCTCCCCCGTATGAATTCTGCGATGCTGGACGAGAGAGGAGCGGACATTGAAGGCCTTCCCACAGTCACTGCACTCGTAGGGATTCTCTCCAGTGTGAATCCTTCGATGGCGGACGAGGTGTGCGCTCTGGCTGAAGGCTTTCCCACAGTCACCACACTCATAGGGTTTCTCTCCATTGTGTGTTCTCTCATGCTTAATTAGGGTGGATATCTGCCCAAAGGTTTTCCCACACTTGTTACACTCGTAGGGTTTCTCTCCAGTGTGGCTCCTCTGATGCTGAATGAGGTGTGAGCCCTGGCTAAAGGCCTTCCCGCATTTGTGACACTCATAGGGCTTCTCACCATTATGGACTCTCTGATGTTGAACAAGGGAAGAGAGCACACTGAAGGCTTTATCACACTCATTACATTCATAGGGCTTCTCACCATTGTGTGTCCTTTGATGATGAATAAGATTAAAACTCTGGCTGAAGGCTTTTCCACACTCATTACACTCATAGGGTTTCTCTCCAGTGTGAATTCGCTGATGCTGAATCAGATGTCCCTTTTGGCTGAAGGTTTTCCCACACTCACTGCATCCATAAGGTTTTTCTCCAGTGTGAATTCTCTGATGCTGGATGAGGGACAGGCGAGCACTGAATGATTTTCCACACTCATCGCAAACGTAAGGCTTCTCTCCAGTATGAATTCTCTTGTGCTGAATGACTTGGGAGCGCTGACTGAAAGATTTTCCACATTCATTACACCTATAAGGTTTCTCTCCAGTGTGAATTCTCTGATGAACAGTAAGGGTTCGGTTCAGGCTAAAGGATTTCCCACATTCATTGCATTCATAGGGTTTTTCTCCTGTGTGAGTTCTCTGATGTTGAATGAGAGATAATCGTGCACTGAAGGCTTTGCCACACTCAGTACAGTTATAAGGTTTCTCTCCAGAATGAGTTCTCTCATGCTGAAAGAGGTGTGAGTGTCTACTGAAAGCCTTCCCACATTCCTTACACTTGTATGGTTTCTCTCCACTATGAATTCTCTGATGATGAATCAGGTTAGAGCTATGACTAAAGGCCTTCCCACACTGATTACACTCATGAGGTTTCTGCCCCATATGAATTTTAAGATGTTGACTGTAAGATGAACGTGCACTGAAAGCTTTCCCACATTCACTGCATTCATAAGGTCTTTCTCCAGTGTAAGTGTTATAGAGCTGAATGAAATAGGAATGAGCCCTGAAAGATTTGCCACACTCAGCACAAGTGTGGGGCTTCTCTCCACAGTGAACTCTCTGATGTTGGCTGAGGACAGAGCAGTGGCGGGAAATTTTTCCACATCTACCACACTCACAGGGCTTCTCTCCAGAGTGACTTCTCTGATGCTGAGAAAGTGCTGTACTCGGGCTGAAAGGTACTCCACACTCAGTACACTCAAAGAATTTCTCTGGATTGTTAACCCTCTGATTCTCACTAAGAACTGAACTCTGCCTGGGCACTTTCACAAACACATCTGTCTGACAGGCTATTTCTCCTAGATGGAAACACTGGAGATTAATGAGGTCCTGACTTTCTTTAAAGTCATCCATACATGGCACATTCTGGTGGAGACTCTCCCCTCTAGATGCTCTATGAAATCCAAAAGAGTTTGGGTCTGCAGTGCAGTTTACCTCCACAGAACTGGATTTCTGGCCTTCCCCTCCAATAGGGGTTTTCCTACATGTTAATGTCACTGGCCTGGAATTGTTCTTCTGGGAGAAGGATTTCTTAAGTCTTTCCTCTGCAGATTTTCTCCAGCAATTCTTTAACTTTCCCTCAGTTTTACTCATCTCTTCAAAATCAGGTTCCTTGGAAATATTCCTTACATGTTCTTCTGATTTTGCTCTCTGGGATCCCGCTGCTTTGGAAATTTCCTGTTTTGGAGTCAATCCCTTCTTCCCCGTCCGAGACTCAAAACCTGAAAGAATGAAGAAAAATTAGTTACTCGTATTTTACTGTGGGAGAAAGAATTAGAGAATAAATAGGAACATTTATATGAAACTATCTCCTAGGAGGATAGTGAATTTTCAGAATGTAAAACCAAAAAACCACCTCACTAGGATGAGAAGAGGAAAGAGGGGAAGAGAAGCATGCTATCAGAGCAAGGAAGGCTGGTGTGGGAAGGAAGTAAGTAAGGAGAGAAGCCCAAGGTCTAGGCTTCTATCTGGGCTAACTAGGCGCGGACAGAGCAGGAAGAGTGAGGCATGACCTGAGGGAAAAAGAGCTCCCAGAAAGGTGACGAGGGTGATGAGGAAGACTGCTGATCATGTCACTGCTCATACTTTGTAAACAAGGTATCTTCTTCTAGCTTACTTATAATAGGTATTCAAATATTTGTTTAAAAACAAATGAGGGGCGCTTGGGTGGCTCAGTCGGTTAAGTGTCTGACTCTTGATTTCGACTCAGGTCATGATCTTGGGGTTATGAGATCAAGCCCTGCATTGAGCTCTATGCTCAGCAGGGAGTCTGTCTCTGCCTCTGCCCCGACCCCCTGAAATAAATGAATAAATCTTAAAAAAAAAAAAAAAAGAATGATAAATGACTTAAGATGAATAAAGGGTATACAGATTAATGGATACTGGAAAAAATGATTTGATCTGGACAACTTGGCTTCACAGAAGCAAATCAGGGTGAATAGAGAATAGATACAAAGAAGCAACCTACTCATCCAAATAGCAGGTGCAGCACAAGGCAGAAAAGCTAAGTGTGTGCAATAATCCACACCACACATTCCCAATGAATAAAAATACCTGAATATTTGTAAAAACTGTGATACAGATGAATTCTGAAATCCAATGAAAGGAAATTTACCAAAAACAAAACAAAACAAAACCCCAAACAAAACCACTGAATCATGTGGACACAAGGACTGTTGGAAGGATAACCAGGTCAGAACAGTGAGAGGGGAGCTCTGTTGTGAGACGCCACAGAGCACAGTGGAACCTCTTTTTTGTAAACTGCTTACTATTAGAGCTGTAACAGTCTGTAATCTTCAGACTGTTTAGCCAGACAAGGAAACAGCTGAAAATGTTGATTAGATGAGATCTAAAATTGGGCTAAGTCATTTTAACAGACTTCAGTGACCTACTCACAGTACTTCAAAGGGATTTACTTTACTATTTTTTACTATTTTTGACAAAGGCACAAAGGCAATACAAGTGGAGAAAGGATGGTTTTTTCAACAAATGGTGCTGGAACAACTGGACATCCACTTGTAAAAATTTTAACGTGGTTCCATAACTCATACCAGACACAAAAATTAACTCAATATGATCACAGACCCAAGTACCTAAAATTTCTAAGTTACAAAATTTTCTTCTATAAGAAGAAAATGTTGGGCGCCTGGGTGGCTCAGATGGTTAAGCGTCTGCCTTCGGCTCAGGTCATAATCCCAGGGTCCTGGGATC